CCTGTGGTATCTCATTCCAGGCAACCACCAACTCCTCTCGAAGTGCTTCTAGAGTCTGAGGAGGACGTTGCAAATTGAGCAATCTCCTACCCATCATATCCCACACGTGCTCAATTGGGGATAAGTCGGGAGATCTTGGTGGCCATGGTAACAATTTGACATCATTATGTTGAAAGAAGTCTATTGTGACTCTTGCAACATGTGGTCGGGCATTATCTTGTTGGAAAGTTGGATCTGCCAGGATGTCAAGATAGGGTAAAAGATGCGGTTCTAGAACTTCGTGGATATAACGCTGCGCGTTCATGTTACCCCTGATGAAGATTAAAGGTGACCTGGAACCATAAGCTATAGCACCCCAAACCAGAACTCCAACAGTGTGATGAACATGTCTTTCAACAAAAAACTGTGGATTCCTCCTTTCACCACGTCGCCTTCTAACCCTGGCACGACCATCGTGCATGCCTAAACATAATCGAGACTCGTCACTAAAGACAATACTGTTCCATTCCTGATCCCAGAGTTACCGTTGTCTGCAGCACTCAAGGCGATTACGTCGGTGTAAGGGTTGGAAGGCAACGTGGTGATAGGAGGAATCCTCAGTTTTTTGTTGAAAGACATGTTCATCACACTGTTGGAGTTATGGTTTGGGGTGCTATAGCTTATGGTTCCAGGTCACCTTTAATCTTCATCAGAGGTAACATGAACCCTGGCAGATCCAACTTTCCAACAAAATTATGCCCGACCACATGTTGCAAGAGTCACAATAGACTTCTTTCAACATAATGATGTCACATTGTTACCATGGCCACCAAGATCTCCCGACTTATCCCCAAATGAGCACGTGTGGGATATGATGGGTAGGAGATTGCTCAATTTGCAACGTCCTCCTCAGACTCTAGAAGCACTTCGAGAGGAGTTGGTGGTTGCCTGGAATGAGATACCACAGGAGGACATTGACCACCTGATCAGAAGCATGCCTAGGCGCGTTGGAGAATGCGTAGCACATCAGGGTGCATCCACACATTATTAAAGGTCAAAGGGCTTTAAAGCAGTGCAATCATTTTGAAATATTTTATCATTTACTTATTATGCTTCATTAAGTACTTATACAAAATTTTATTAAATAAAACCATTTAAACTGGGTGTTCGGATTTATATGTCACTTAGAATATATACTGATAATGTTAATAAGAACGAAACGACGCTGTTTTCGGTAAGTCATGGTCACAGTACACTAAGCAGACAGATCCTATTATCAAACTATTCACAACAAAAAAAAATGAAGAAATTATAATCTCACCAATAAAAGATATAAGTTATTGTTCTATGCCCAAAGCATCTGTCAGCGGGAACATTAATCCTTTCTCTTAATTATCTACAAAGGTGTGAAAAATGTTACATATTATCCAATATACTCTACACTATCAGTTTTGTAAGAACCATTCTATACTATTTATGGTTTTTATCGGGGTCATACGATTCGCTTTGTGCAATCAAAAATTTATGGTGTGAATCTGAACCACTTATAGGTGTATCCTGTTAAGTTTTCGTGATTTGGTGAATAAAAAATGTTAGAGTACTCAGAATCAAGGTGAGATGGATTATATAGATTAACTGTGTATCTATTGTATCTTGTACCGAGGAATTTTAACCATTCTCCGATCTGAAGATGATTGTTTACTGCTATGCATGAAGATAAAATGTTTAATTTTTTTCAACCAAGTGCCACTATTACTTTCCACGCTCAGGCAATTGTGATCGAGAAACATGTCTCGCAACATGACGCTGTTGTTGTTGTTCACCTACCTAATCGGTTTAAGGCATTTGATCCTTGTTTTGTATATTACTGCTTATAGCAGAACCACTACCATATTCAACCCACCGCCTGTACCTTCCAAAAATTAGCGGCAAAAAGTCCTGTCTTCCGCTTATCTTCCCTTTTTCCACATTTTCAATATTGCCAATAACAAAACCAAAAAATGAACATAATTACAGAACAAAAACGAGATATTTTTGAACTGCCCAAGGTTAGTAAAATGAGATGCCCATGTAGATTGTTCCACAATCTCGATATGCTTAGGACAAAGGAACGGTCGTATCGGCCAGCTCTGGACGTACAAAGTTCGGTTAGGATGGGAGGCTGAAGTTAGGAGGGTCTGTCTGGCAGGCACATAGTGTGGCGGCAACATGGAGGAGATCTATGAGGAGCAAAGCCGATTGGCGTACCGCTAGAAGAGAGCTACATTGTCGAAGGGCACTCCTCTGAAGAGCATCGAGCATGGATAATGTAGTCGGGGCGGCAGCACCCTAAAAATGTGAGCAGGACTCGAAGCTCGCGTGAGGAGGTGTTGTGAAGAAAAGTATTTCTTAGCCCTAAACATATAGCGTATATTTGTCCTAGCAGCAGCCGCTATCGATGAGGTCTGTTCGTGCCAGATCAAGTCCCCAGTGATCTGGACTCTCTTACTTACTTGGATCTTTCTGTCTACACGTTTTACCACTATCTCTATTTCTTATCGTACCGACCGATGAAGGGTTTGTGTTCATATCGATCGTTGCGGTCACCAGCAAAATCTACAGGGTGTAAACGTTATGATAGTCATTATTTAAATGGGTGATAGAGGGAGTTGAAAGAAGTAAGAAGTTTCATATAACATGGGGGTCAAAACGGCATTTTTTAGAGAAATGCGACTTTAAAGTAAAATAATATCTGAGAACGCCGCAATGCCAGACGCAAATTACGACGGAACGCAGTGTAAGTAAAGATGGAGTTTATTATTTTTGGCTCTAAGGTATTATTTCAGTATTTGATAATGTACTCGTAAAATGCAAACAATTACCTGGTGTGTGAAAGTTTATTGAACGTATTAAAAAAATCCACTTATAAACAGGGAACACAATTTTGATACCTACATACATTGTTTTTCTTTTTAAAACCCACACTGCACTTTTTTGTATTTAAAGAAGGTGTTCAAAATGTCGTCCTCCACTTTTCACACAAGCTTCATTACGACGAACCCAGTTTCTTCTTACTCTAGGTCAGAGTTCCCCAAACTTTTTTGTGTCGTAGACCCCTTGCCATGTTTTTCCGTGTTGGGTAGACCCCCTACTTACCTGATATTGATTTCCTGTAAATTTTTAACTGTAGTGAAGTTTAGTGTTAAAAACTTAAAGTAAAAACACATGTTAATTTATACATTTATTGATTGAATTTAAATTAAAACTACTCAAAATAAAATTTTGTATCTGTTATGTAAAATATACGTAAAATTAAATAAACAGGTGTCTGACCAATAAGTGCCCGTATTGGGAATAAATGCCCGCATTGAAAAAAAATAACAGGGATAAAATAAAAAAAAAGTGAAAAATAATAAAAAAAAGTTTTTTACTTAAAATAGTACAATAAGCGAGTTCGTTTATTAATTATAACATAACCGTATGTTCTACAATAATTTCACTGTTAGTTTGATTAAATTCCGCTTCTTATACGTTTAAGTTATCTAAAAATAGGCAAAAAATTAACGAATTTTAGTGTGTACCTATCCTTGAATTTTCAGAATAATTAAAAAAAATATATTTTCTATAAAGGAGGGTTCTTTAAAAAAATCAATGCGGGCACTTATTCCCAATGCGGGCATTTATTGGTCAGACACCAATAAACATAAAATAAACTATAAATAAAATAACATAAGCAATAAGTCAATATTTTTAGTGAGAAGGATGAACCTGATGCTTTAATAATAAATTATCAACATTTGGCGTCAATGTTGTAAGGGTTAATCTTAAATCTCCTCGGCTAATGATGTCCAGTCTGTTTCTTTTTTTCGTTAGGAGATTGGTAACAGCGCTGAACCCCCTTTCCACTAGGTATGACGATGGAAAGGAAATTAAAAATTTCCTCGCTATATTCCATAATACGGGATAGGTAAGGGGTATGTTGTTTTGCATCCAGAATTGCTGATATCCGTTTTTAAACTGAACCTTAAGTTCTTCGTTTGTACTTAGTTCAGTCAGTTCCTCTTGTATTATGACATTCGTCTCGTCACCATATGGATTAATTATCCACGGTGGTATTACCATAGTCAAAATATCCTCAAACCTAGATTCAAAATCTGAATAGAGGGCATTTAAATGTTGAACGTAAGTTGAAACGTCGGCTTCCTGGCAGCTTGTCTGTGACAAATTGGGGAACTGAGAAAATTCGCCCCGTCCAATATTTTGCTTCATTAGTTTAACTCTGGCAAGAAACGCTGATAAGATGGACTTTGTTTTAATCAAATTTAAACTGTCGCCTTGTAATTGCAAATTAAATTTTGTAAACAAATCTGTTAAATAGGCGATGTCTGTTTTCCTCTTCATTAAATTTTCTTTTAAAATTTTATCTTTAGTATCCACAAATTCTAAAATAGTCTCAAAAAGTGGAAAAAATCTTGTCAAACATAAGCCTTTCGACAGCCAGCGTACTTCAGTGTGAAGGAGTAATTGATGAAAGTATTCGTCATTTTCTTCACACAACTGCGCAAATAACCGCGTATTCAACGCGTTGCTTCGGATTCGGTTTACTGCATCAATGACTAAATGAAGTGATTCATGCAATCTAACACTCAAATTTTTAGCAACTAAATGTTGTCGATGGATGACGCAATGTATTGCTAACACCCCTGACACATTTTGTTTTAAATAGCTTATAAATCCAGGATAACGTCCAACCATGGCAGGTGCTCCATCTGTAGCTACTGATATTATATTTGATAAAGGAATTGCTTTTTCAATGAAGTAATCCTTCAAAACATGAAATATTGATTCACCTTTAGTGTCGGTTATCAAAGTTCTTGCGAAGATTTCTTGATTCATAATAAAACGAACATATGCCAATAATAATGCTGCATTATCAGGTAAAGTTGACTCGTCCAGTTGTATAGAGAAATGGGTCGTTTGCAAATAATTACATAAGAAGCTTTCAATATCAGAACCCATTTCATCAATACGTCTTTCAACAGTATTGTTACTTAAGGGAATTCTTTTAATGATATCTGATGCAGGTTTGTGTAAAACAGTTTTTAAAACCTCTTCAACGGCTGGCAAAATTAACTTTTCTCCGATAGTATGCGGTTTCCCGGATTTTGCTATAAGTAACGAGATATTGTAAGACGCCCGCAAACCATCATCATTTCTTTGTGACGTCGAAGCGAACATTCTGTCCAGTGTAGTTTTCTTCTGAAATTTATCTTTGAGTGTTTGAAAGTATTTCAAATCTTACTCTGTTTTATCAGGGTGGCATCTTCTCAGATGATCTTGCAGTTTAGATGGTTGCATAGCGTCATTGCCCAAAACTTTGTTGCATAAAAGGCACATAGGCGATTGTTTGTCCGGCAATGATGGAATGAAGCCAAATTTCAAATAATCAACACTGTACTGTCTACATTTTTTTTAGATTCGGACATGGCATCAGTCATCTGTGGGCAAAATTAAATTATTTAAATAAGACAGAAAATCCAGCTGCTGTATATTAAAAATATTTTTTGATTTTTCCGAAAACATTCCATAATTCGAACATCTTCTTGCAACAATTAGCTCGAAAAACTATTGAGTAGTACTCGTGTAATTTTGCATGATTGAATATTTAACTACTAATAACTAAAGTCATGATTGGCGTAATTTATCTATCTTTGCTAACTACGAGTACAAAACTAAAATTTAATAAAAAATAATGTTCTTACTTTTCTCCAGCACTCTCAAACAAAATAACACTGATTCACTATAATTTGTGTGATATACTATCTGTTTATATTTTTTAAAATATTTTCTTAGCACTTTCCTTTTCAAGATTCAGGAAACGAATAAACGTATTTGTCCCACATTCGTATTTATAGTGTGATGAATTGAACAAGTCAGTGCAAGGTAGCGAAGCTCTGAGACTGCGACTCTCAGGTTTTTACAAGTTCAAAATGTATTGCGACCACAAAGCGAGTACCAACATCCTACAACTTACACAATTTTATAAACATATATAATAAATTTTTTACTTCATAGGTACTTTTATAAATAATGTATATGTTTTGATATTATAAGACAGTATGATGTAAGTAAATAGGTACTATCAGTGTATGTGTTGAGATCCACTATCGTGGACCCCCATATTCATTTCATGGACCCCTTGCAGGTTGTCATAGACCCCTAGGGGTCGATATAGACCACTTTGGGAATCAATGCTCTAGGTCCTCGAAGTTGTCCATTTATTATTTCAGCCGCATTAAATTTTTTTTCGCGAAGTTGTGCTTCAGTTGTTAGTGGATCAGTCCCATAAATCACCCCTTTAAGTCCTCCCCAATACCAGAAATCCATCTAATTGAGGTCAGGAGATCTTGCTGGCCATTTCCGAGGATCAGGAGTTTTTGTGCAAAAACGACTGACAGAAAGTTAGTCTGCAAGGATAGTCTTCTAGTAACAAGGCCTGCACTCGTTGTACATGGTAGGGATAAAGCAAAATTTCCCGTAGGATTCTATGGACTATGGTATGCGATAGTCCTACGCGGCGGCCTAATTCCCGAGTTCTGACATCTGCATCGATTTCCACGATATTTAAAATTTGTTCCTCCTGCTCTACAGTAACCTGTTTTTCACGAGTGCGAATATTATTAGGCTGAACACTTCCTGTATCTCGAAGTCTTTGATACACTTGCACAAATGTCCTTCTGGGTGTACCTGTCGCTATAAATTTGAGCTGCAAGATTTGAATTCTGACGAGCTTCACCGTAAACTAACAACATGTCGGCGAACTCTTGATTCGAGAAATAAACACGACGACGTACGCGAACAAAAACAAAACAACATACTAACCACTGTCGCGGTTCGAGTGATGAATGACCGACGCGCTGTTGTCATGTGTGTTTTAAATATTTAATTTCATGAAACTTACCTACTGACTACAAATTTTAGCTTAACATAGAAAAACTTAATGCCATTTATTTGTTAATTACCCAATTTAAAAACGTTTTAGATTAGACGGTTATCGAGATTTGAGGTATGCTTAGATTCGTCTTGATACCACAATTATTGTCAGTTACCTACTACAATCAGGATTTTTGTATTTTTGTTAAATATCTTTCTGTAACATGGGCTTGTGTCGATAGATGTTTTTGAAGGAAATTATCAGGAGTATAATAAAAGCCACTTTGAGCTTACTCAGAAAGCGGATCAAATATCTCGATTGCATTTTCGACAGAGGGTAAAATGCTTGCTGCTCTCAGCACATCAAAATATTACCAATAGAGATACTGTAGGTAATATACCTTTTGATCAATCCAATAAAGTACAAAAAAAATGTTCATACTTGTGATTTGTCGTTTTGTATAGCTTAAATTACTTAGTTATTAGTTGTGAAACACCGAATCCGAAACGACCTCTTTTCTATCTCAAATGCGCCTCAAGACAGGTTAATTTATTAAATTCGGATGTTCTTTTATGCGGCACTTCATTTATAGTATTGAATCTTAGAAATACTGTTAAACGGTTAATTTTACTACAGAAATTATTCATAATGTCTTCAAGGTGGTCTGAGATGGTGTGAACAAATCAATATAATGACGCCACTAATAAGCGGCATTTTAGGTAATTTTAGTGAAGACAACATCATTCCTTTTAATTCGGCGCGTGGGGAACATACCGTTCAATAAAATATATTTGGTAATTTATTGATCCTTAATCTTCGATCACTTGCTTCAAAATAAAAATATTATTATAGTATTGAAAGTGTGAATAATGTATTATATAACTTATTTGTTATGAATTGAATATGGGAGGTGTTTTTCCAAATATCAGATCCTTGTACGTGTAAATGTTCTGTCTACAAGTAACTGCTCACCAGTACTTCTAGAATTAATGGCGTCAAGTAGGTTGACTATGCACTAAACATGCAACGCTGTCATTTGTTTAGAAGGAGCTAGCTACAAACACGTATAAGAAATTAAATGGGTCAGTCAGCCAAACAGGCCCATATACAATTATAAGATACTCCGTAGTCCCCATCCATTTGATAATGCTAACGCTAGTTTCTTCCGTGCCCTAGGTATGGATGACCTGGCAACGCTGCTGAACCACACCAGTCAAACCCGTCATAAGCGCTGCTCACGGTACTAAAACATCCCTGCGCGTGCAAGGCAGGGAACGGCGTATAAAAGTCTCATCTCGTCAATAAATGTTTCTGTTATGAGGGCAAGATTTGTTTTCACAGAGGATCAGCAATTGATGTTGTAACATGGTCAGGTTGGGTCTTGCATGCTATATGCTCTGTGCTTTTGGGGTTCATCGGTGAACGCTTCGTAGTGTGTTCTTAAGCCAAAAACGGCTGGTAAGGTATATAGAGGGATTAAGCATCACTTGTAGTTGCAGAGAATTATTCAAGAGGTTGAAAATAATGACACTGTCTTCAATAGTCATATACATCAAGTGGGCACCCGCAGGCAAGATGACATACATACAGTACCGAGCAAAAGTAGAGAAACAAACCACGTTACAAATAAAAATCAAAGATTTACTCTAACCTAAAACTGTCCTCAAGATAATGAAATGCTTATCTTTGTATACATTATTTTTTTTCAATATAATATGGTCGGTTTTTGTTCAACGAGCAAAAGTAGAGAAATATTTTGTAAATATTTAGTTTATATTTAGTCGTTGATTACAGTATGTTATGTTCAGATAAGAGATAGACCGGATGTAAACAAAAGGTTCGGGTGATTTTCACGCTAACGCCGCCGTCTCGACGTAAAACAGGAGCCCTTATTGGTCAATTCGCAATTAAATGCCTATGCCGAGCGGCAGAGCAGTCGTATCAAGCCAGAGTCACATTCAGGTTCAGACATGTTACGTATGTCGTGTGCATCATTGCAATTTGATATTTCTTTGGACGTTTTCGTTTGTTATCTTATTAAGTTGTTGAGTTTGTCGTTGTTATTGTTATACCTTGTTATTGATTGTTATTGTTATCAACTGCTTGCGCAAAATGCCCAGTAGTACAGATACTGCCGATGAAGTTGTAAACTCCTGTAGTCCATCTAGGAAACGCTCTAAAAAAAGACACCTGAGTGCAGAAATGAAAGAGGTCATTTTGAATATATATAAGATCGAGCGCGAGGAGAACGAGGCATCAACCATCAAAGAAATTGTTGTGAAGGTTTCTCACAAAGTTGGGGTGTGTCACGCATCAGTGTTTAATGTGTTAAGACAATACAAAAAAAAAGACACCTTTTCTGAGCCAATGACCAGTAAACATCGCAAAAGTATTGTTAAATAATTGGAGGAAGCTGATAAGCATGCGATTAGGAGGAAAGTGCATGGATTCTTGTTTAGGAATGAAATACCTACTATAGATAAAGTACTGCAGGAGGTAAATAGAGATACAACGTTGCCAAATTTCAAACGATCAACTTTCCATGCGTTACTGAAGCATTTAAATTTCAAATGGAAAAAACGGGGTCGTAATAGTTTACTACTGGATAGAGAAGAAATTGTGCTATGGAGGAGGGATTATTTAACAAAAATTGGGAAATATAGAAATCAAAACAGGAAGATTTATTACCTTGATGAAACGTGGGTAAACGCAGGACACACTACAAGTAAAGTATGGGTTGATGATTCTGTAACTTCATCCAGAAGGGCCTTTCTAGCTGGACTGTCCACCGGATTAAAAAATCCAGCAGGTAAATACGAGTAATAGACAACAATCGGATGTTTTTCAAACCTTGGGAACAAGGTTCTAAACATTAATTCCTGGGGGCAGATAAAACATATTACAAGTAACAAAACTTTTATAACTTTCGATAAAATGCGTGGATGTTTTATTGTCATTTTCATTTGTTAGAACTTTTTTAAGCCATGTTTTTATGTGTTTTCGATATTTCAATAATTTTTTAATATAATCTTAAATATGTCGAATATTATAAACTTAAAAAAAGTTACTAAGTTTTATATTGTGTACCGTTCCTAATATTTCTAATCATTTTAATTCATACTTTAAGCTTTATAAAGTTATAATTTGTTAATATTAATATTTGCGCGTATTTCAGGTTCCTGATCATTCATTTTTTAAAGGTTTATAACTTTAAATTAAATTGTGAAGCGCTGAGTAATCATACGACGTTCAATATTCTTTCTTTCAATATGACTAAATAATCCCAATTATAGCAATCTGATACTCATGTCTCAATGTTTTTTCGCTGAATGTGATGAAAACATTTGAAAAAGGTTCGCTTATTGAAATAAATCTACACCAGTTAGTACTTCGATTTCCAGGTAAAGGGAAAAGGCTCATTATCTGCCATATTGGCAGTGAGGATGGATTTGTTGTTGACGGTCTGTGGTGCTTTGAGTCTAAGAAAACTGGAGATTACCACGAGGAAATGAATGGCGAATCGTTTGAACAGTGGTTTTCAAAAATTTTACCGAACTTAGAGGAAAACGCAGTAATTGTGTTGGATAATGCGCCTTATCATTCTCGAAGAATGGAGAAGGTCCCAACAACGGCTTCAAGGAAAGTTCATGTTCAAAATTGGCTCCGCTCGAAAAATATCAACTTTGAAGAAGCAATGCTGAAAGTACAATTATTAAGAATTGTCAAGGATCACAAGGCGGAATATCAAAAATACGCCATTGACGAAATGGCAGCAAGTCAAAATAAAACTGTGCTCCGTTTACCTCCATACCATTGCGAGCTCAATCCCATTGAGCTCATATGGGCAGAGGTTAAAAATTATATAGCTAAGCACAATACAACTTTTAAATTTTGTGACCTCAAAGGACTTTTCAAAGAAGCACTAGAATTAATAACAGCGCTAAAATGGGAAAACTGTATTAAGCACGTGAAAGACAAAGTTGAAAAGAGAATGTGGGAACTGGACAATATTTTAGAGGAACAAGTCGAGCCATTCATTATTGACGTTGGTGCTTCAGGCAGTAGCGATGATGAAAGCTCATCAAGCTCATCTTTCCAATAAAAGATGTCGTTCATCAAATTCGGTAAGTTATAAGTAATTATAAAGCTACTGTATTTTTTAATTAATTATTGACATTTTTGAACCCATTTTGGCAAAACCTATTCAAGAATCTACTTTCTGACAATGTTCAATCATGCACATTTTTTTACGTTTTGAACGTTTTAATTTGGTTACATATTTACCTAGAAATCAAAAAATATACTAATCAATATTCTAAAAGCAATTTTAAGAGATATACGATTATTTTTAATTTAGGCTAATTTAAACGCCATTTTGAGATTATATTCGACTGTATTTCACCAAACATCAGGCGGCATCCGAAGCTGGAAATCGAAGCGAACATTTTGTATATTTACATCATTATATATTTCTTACCCCACCCCCATATGATCCTATATCCATCACCAATCGTATACACATCGAATTGTGCTAATTTACTACAAAGTTACGCAAAGCAGCATCTACTATCTAAAATATGTACTGCGTGACTCTTAATACGTCCCTGCCGAATGTTACAGCGTTCGATGATCACGTGGTCTTGTTTATGTCCGGTCTATCTCTTATCTGAATATACTGTAGAACTGGTGTTATTTTTGACTGTATTTGGTAACGTGTAGTTCAGAAACATGGCCAGAGGAATTACATTGAATTTTCAAATAAAAGAATTGATTATTTTAAAATATCGATCAGGCATTAAACAAGCAACCATAGCCAAACAGCTGAATTTCTGTTCCGCCTCAGAATATCGTTGGTAAGCCCTCCTAAGACTGGTAGACCGCGAAAAACTACACCTAGGATTGATAGGAAAATTAAAAAATCCATTTACTACTGCTGTCGATATAAAAGCTCAACGAAGTAAATATTGGTGTCCACACTGTTCGAAGACGTTTAAGGGAGAGTGATTTACCAGCAAGGAGACCATCTAAAAAACCCTTTATTTACAAGAAAAATCAGACCGCCCTTCTTCAATTTGCTTACGATCATTTGTACTGGTCAGAAACAAGGTGGAATTCTGAATTATTTTATGATGAAAGTAAATTTAATTTATTTTCATGGGATTGCATTTTATGGGTAAGACGTCCTAAAAACAAGCGATTTGATCCTAAGTTCACTTTGGGCACAATCAAACACGGACTCGGGAAGGTTTAAGTATGGGGTTGCTTCTGTGCTTCTGTGGTCTTCAAATGGGACCCATCGTTACAATTGAAGGAATTATGTAAGGGTACAAATACATACTTGGAAATATTAACTGATACCATGCTACCTTATGCAGAAGAAAACATGGCTCTACGCTGGCGCTTCCAGCACGAGAATTACCCCAAGCACACAGCGAAAATAATAAAAACATTTTTTGCAGATTACAATTAAAATGTCATTAAGTGGCCAGCTTAAAGTCCAGACCTTAACCCCATAGAGAACCTATGGGATTTGGTTGATAAAAAATTCGGACTGAACATCCAGAAAAGTTCAAAACCAGTGCCGAACTATTTGAAACAATCGAAGTCGCCTGGAATTCTATTCAAAAAGAAACAATTGGTTCTATCTCTAAAAATAAAGGTTATGCAACCAAGTATTAGCTTCTTTGTATACGATAACTGCTTTGTATATTACGTTTCTCTATTTTTGCTCGCTGTATTTTCTAATAATAATTGTTAGCATAGTTTTATTAAAGCAGAAATTTTATTTTAATGTTGGCTTTGAATTACATGTTACATTAATTTATAATAAAACATAAGTGTTTAGTTAACTTTAATAGTCTAATAAAATCTTTAAAAAAATAAAATGTCTCTCCACTTTTGCTCGGTACTGTTAGGCAGCGGATCACCATGTATTTTAGGACTAAACATTTTTAGCAACCTGGCTGGCTCCAAAAAATGATCACCTTAATAGGCCAGTTCAAATCTGAGCTGAAAAGCTACTTTATCAGTAATTGTTTTTATGCAATTAGTGACTTTGTCAATTTTTAAATATTATTTTTATCACTAATTTTAACGTGTTTGTTGTTACATGCTATTTGTTTGTTTTTCTAGTTTATTTATTTTGTATATATTTATATATTGTATTTTTGGATTTTCAACCCCTCAAAAAACTTCTGAAAATTATCAGGAGGCTCTGAAACGTGAAAAGAAGAAATTTGGACGATTTTTATTTCTTTAATTCAAACATCTCGTTTCGAAATTTCTCAAAACTACAGTACTTGCCAGTAGGCGTAGGAAGAAAAAGTGTCGAAATTCAAATCATTCCCGGGGATACCCGGAAACAATCTAATTTTCACGAAGTTGTCTTTAATTTTTCGAATCGAATTTTTTTTCACCAGTTTTGGCAATTATTATTTCTATATCTTTAGCTATCAGACGTAAAATGTATATTATTGAAGCTCCATAATACGTTTTCCTCTTTTTATATCTATGCAGATCAAGCAAGTCACGGCATTCCGTTGTTGATATTAGATTATGTATAATTATGAACTGCATAGCATTTTATAGGTAATAAAATACAGATACCATTTATTACAACATCGTGAATGACAGTAGAAAATGAAAAATTGATTGGTTATATACGAGCCCGTTCCCACTTCAGTTGGCCCAACTATTGAAATCTTAGTTTTTTTCTTATCAGACACAAATAATAAAAATTTAGCAGGGTGTTATACGTTTAAAATATTAATAATGAATATTTTGATAATATATAGTAGACAACACCAACTTTATCACTCCCTAATTAAATTTGCAGCATAAAAATAACACATGTTGCAATTACAGCATATCAACCTATTTCCATTTCAATGCAAAATAAGTCTATAACGCATAGGTGGCTGTGAAAAATAAAAGCCATGACAATTGTTTTTATTAATCACAGCTGTCATAATACGTTTAAAATAGTTTTGGGTAGTTAAGGTTTTCAAAATGGGTAGAGAAAAGGTTATTAGTGATAAAATTCGGTTACTGATAATTAAATTTTTTAATTCTGGGAAATAAAACTCAGAAATTGTAACTTTGTTAGACTTATCGCGGTACAGTGTGAGAAATATTGTTAGAAGATATAACGTAACTGGTTCAGTTAATGTTAAGCCACGATATGTGAAAAAAAGTAATATCACAAATGGCGACCGAAGAGCATTAAGAAGAATAATCGTGAAAAACAGGCGTGCCAATTATTTACAATTAAGTGCTCTGTGGAGTGACGTTGTTGGAAGGAGAATTTCGAGGTCCAAAACTCATAGAGAGGCCCACAAACTGGGATTTAGCACTTGCAAGGTAAGTTTTCTTATAAAAAAAAGTGAAGTAAAAACCCTAAAGTTGCACAACTTGTTTATAGGCCAAGAAAAGCCACTATTAACTCCACTGCAAAAGAAAAATCGGCTTAGATGGGCTAAAGAACATAGACAATGGACACCTCAACAATGGTGTGCAATACAATGGAGTGATGAGGCCCGATTCGAAGTTTGTGTTGGTGGCAGTCGCAGTAGAGTTATTCGCAAAAAATGAAGCAATCCATGTTGACTGTCTGAAGAGAAAAGTGAAACTTCCAGCATCCATTATGGTCTGGGGCAGTATGTCATCAAAAGGAGTACGAAAACGTCATTTTATTGATGGAAATGTGGATACAAACAAATATTTGGCAGTTTTAGAAGAATCGATTTTACCAGTGATGGAAGAATGTTTGACATCCGGCCAAGATTTTGTGTTTCAGCAAGATGGTGCAACGTGCCATACCTCAAAAAAGGCTATAAAATGGATGGAAGAAAATAATTTACCACTTTTGAAATGGGTTTCTAGATGAAAAAGGTTCTACAACATCTTGCTCGTACAATCACCGAACTGAGACAAAAGCTTCAAGAAATATAGGATTGTTTTACACAAAATTTTTGCCAAAACTTGGTTAGCACTATGCCCCAAAGAATTTCAGCCGTAATAAAAAATAAAGGTGAGGTTACCCAATGGTAATCTTTCAATTGTTGCTTTGTTAACTTTTATTCGCACATTGTTTATTTGTTCAGATGTTCTATTAGTTATAGGTCTAAGTGATTTCAAATATGTATTTTTTACGACTAGAGTGTATCTAAAACGTTTTTGAGAAAATAAATTGATTTAGAAGTAAATAGTTTCGTCATGTTTAATTTATAAAGGCATATTTTTGTACAAATCTTGAAGTGGGCCAACTGAAGAGGGAAGGGGCTCGTACTCCTTAAGTCAATTTTTATTAGATTCCAACTTTATTATAAGGATCTAAGTGATTTCCGTAAATGCACTACAATTTGATTAAAATGTAGTCTAAGAAAATGCTTATTTTTCGAAAACTTTTTTCCAACATACTGTTTTTTACACCGAAGCAGCAGCGCAGGCAAAAGCCTAAATGCCTGTGTAATATGTACAAACTTTGAAAACGTCGGATTTCTTATTATCCAAGGTCTATAGTATTGCAAAGTTTCAATGAACTCAGTTTGTTTTTGAAGGACATGCAAATAATTTGAAAACTATCCAAATTCAACAGTATTTTACAGTGTCTTTTTCCTCAATTTATTGATTGACGTCGATTTAGTCTCGATAGGCCTGTAATTAAAAACGACACAGCTTTCGTATAAAACATTTGTTCATAAAAAGCTCAGCAGGAGCCAAATATTTTGGGGCTGACAATATAAAATTGAAGTAATATCTGAATAGAAGAAAAAGTCAGTCTCTTAATTTATAGACCTCGTGTGCTTGGAGTACAGCGGTATCAACTGAGAAACAAATTAAAAACTGAACAAAATCGTCGACATATATTGCAAAACTTCGCAATTCAACGTAATTCACAATTATTCTACTTCAATACGCCGTCTATTCATTGCTCAAAATTATCGCATACCAATCTGAATACGAATATCTTCGTCTAAGGTTCAAATCAAATTTAAAATGCCAACTACAGGAAAAGCACTATTATATCACGGATGGATTATTGTATTGCCGCTACTGTATTATATAAACATAGAGCCCAGCAATTATTAAAGTTGCATCAATTTGTACTTGTAATAACTTGCCTGGATCTTTTGAAATGGACAGATGAATGAGCTATGTACACCAGTCAAGTGTAGTTCTACCATGGGTGTTTCAAGATTGATTTTAAGTAGGTTAGAAGGCGAACATCCAGTAAACAAAATAACTTACCTTGCATGTTTCAAAAATGTCCTCTGATAACAATATCACGTTCTAAACTAAAGTACGTGAACAACGTATCAGAATCAAGACAAATGATTCAACAACTGCGAAAGCGAAAAATGAAACCTGCCCAAATCATTGCTGACTAGCTCCATTTACAAATTGTATTGATCATCTGAATCTTATAAGTTATTTCTCAATTCGGTCTCGAACTTATTAACGCTTAAGATCATACCGTTTCTCTTCACAGTTCTATGAAGTATGTATTACGATTGTAATAGATGTCTATGTATTCTTTGTACTTTTGACGGGTTCATTTTCGTTCAGGAATGAATTTTGCAAGACATTTTAATTTAATTTTTCACTAGAATGGAAGTAGTGGCGCAACAACTGACCATTTAAGGATGTTGGAAGGTACAGTCATCATAGCACCCATCTAATTTGGAGAGGCGACAAAGAGGATAAAATAGTACAATACAAACGACGTTTGAAAATAAAAGCCCGAGGCGCCGAGAGATATAATGAGCGAGACCAATCATGGCCTTCTTAAGCGAGCTATATACAGGGTGTCTCGAAAAAAGTGTGCAGGGCTTAAAATAGGAAGAACAGTTTATATAAACATAGGTCGACAAACGTCCCCTAAGCGCGCTACGGTCTTTTAAAGGGGCTCCCCTGAAGATGAATGAATATTTTTAAATCCAGCATAAAAAACTAGGCTATGATACCAAATTTATGTCTTTATCTCAACACGTTTCGAAAATATTAAGGAAAAACCATCTTCAGGGGAGCCCCTTTAAAAGACTGTAGCGCCCTTAGGGGACGTTTGTCGACCTACGTTTATAT